GTCGGTCGTGGCATCTTCCTCAGCTGCTGTGCATTTTAATTTTTATATTTGTGATGGGAATTGTTTTTAGTTTATTTTAAGATCGTTCACCGCCCAGAGTCACTTGTTCAGATGGGCAGCCATTTAAATAAAATTAAATAAATAAATAAATGTCTGTGAAACAGACCAATTCTTGTAACTAGAGTCAGAAAAATTCTGCTCTCCTCTCTCATAATAGGAAAAATTAAGATTATTTTCCCTGGGCAGTGCCCATATAATAAAGATGTAGCACTGCAATATAACCATTAAAATAGCAAAATTTTGAAAAACAACACACGGGCCAGATTCATGCAATGTGCATAGCTCTGGTTTGCTTTAACAACCCACTTTATGGTTTAATATAATAATCTGTGAAACAAGTGACAGCCATAAGCTTCTGTCCAAAATGTTGGGGGAACAGACCCAACAACGTGAGGGTCAACCACAGTTCCTCTGGAACAATTCCAGAATCAGGGTGCGGCCACTGAGAGTCCCTGGTTCTTCCCAGAAGCTCCACTGAGTTCATCCAGCCCCATTACCTGTGCAACAGCCAAGATGGCCACTGTGAGGACAAAGGGAATAGACCAGGTCACCAGGTGGAAGTAGGAAGTCTTGCCCACCAGCGGCTGGTAGGTGGTACCTAGCGCCTTAAAGGAGGTGTGCCAGGCATAAGTCAGCATGACGAACCAGATCACACCAGACATCAAGGAATAGTAGACAATCACAAAGATGATCACGCAGGAAAGTGTCTCGTTGGAGCTGTGGAGAGAGACAGAGACAGAGAGACAATTAATTGTACTCTTTCTGACAAAAGCTCTGGGAAGGAGTGCCAACACAGCCCAGATTCCTTCAAAAGCCCTCCCGTTGTGGGTGAAAAACTCTTCCATGTCTTCCCAAGGTCCACTCTTGGTACTCTAAATCAGTGTTTCTCAACCATGGCAACTTGAAGGTGTCTGGACTTCAACTCCCAGAATTCCCCAGCCAGAAAACACCGCTCTAAATAATGGCCTGCCCCATATTCAGAGCCTCTGATCACTGTTCAACCCTTCATTAAAATGCTCTCCTTTCATCCAGCACCTTCAGATCAATCATGCTTTTAGACTGATATTAACCCTTTGGCCATATGTACATATGAATAGACCTAGGAGGCTTAAACTACATATTTTGAAACAGACCTTTTTCTTTAGTTACTTGCTAAAGGTTCCCATTCTCACTCATTCTTGGATCTCCAAATGGCCCAACCACACATCACCTAACAGAATATTTTCCTCTATATCTCTCGTTCAGGGTGGGGCACAATTTTTCCCAAAACACATCTCCAGCCCTTCCAGATCACTATTCCCTGGAGTATAGTGTGCAATGATCACCAGTCAATAGGTTCTTCCTCTGATTCATACCCAGCACAGCCAAGACTACATCAATCTCAACTTCCTGATCCACAGGTCTTCTCCATCCACCTTCAGTTCCTCCATGTATTCATCAGCTCCTCTCCACTAGAGCAGCCCACCTTCGTTCTATTTCATCCTTTCTCTTTTTTTGAGTTTCACAAACCCATAAGAGATCTACCAAGGGAAAGACACTGGAGTGGAAGAAGAAATCGCTGCAGAAGGACCCTTCCCCCCACCTCTTTTCCACAGCCCCTTCCTCTCTCATGCTCCCCTCTCTCTTCCCCTGAGCCCCCAAGGACGAGAGAAGGGAGCCTTCCTGAATTGTAGCCTTGCACAGGGCCTTGGGAATGAGGGTGTGGGCTACACTGTTGGTGTTGGACCAGGAACAGGGAGGGAAGGAGAAAATGGCTGCTGTCCTGCCACCGTTGGACTCCAGTTCCCATAAACTCGGACCACACCAAATGGGGTCATGGAGAATTGGAGCTCAGCTCTCCCTGTCTTTTGCCTCTTCCTGGGCCCCAAGCAGTGTTTCCTGGATGCAGCTTGGAAGCAAGGGGTTCTCCAGGCAGGGCCCACCCCTGAACCTACGTGGGCTCCCCCAAGCGCATGGTCCCGTCAGCACGGCAGACGATCTCACTGCGGGCGCCATCCATGAACTGGGCCAGCCAGCCGATGCTGCCCGTGAAGAAGCAGGCATTGACGTAGAAGAGGATCACAGCTGGGTAACGGTTCGAATTCTTCCAGTCAGCTACGAAGGTGGCCTGGGGGAGAGGTGTGTTGAGTCAGGTGAGACTGGCCTTTGGCCACCCCACGCCTTCCAGGTGCGCCAGCTGCTAGGAATTCTGGGAGTTCCAAACCCAACACACCTGGAGGGCGCCAGGGTTGCAGAATGCCAGTTAACGCTTTGAATTCCCAGCAGAATTACTGGGGAAGGGGAACATGCCCAGTGACGAGGGGTTAACGCCCCCAACCATCCCACCAATTTCCACCCTCAGACCAGAAACTTTACGCCTCTTGATCTTTTAAATTGCAAATTGCAGCAATTCCACAACTGGGGAAGGATATATCACCTCAGCCCTGCTCTCTATCCCCTCCCCACCTTTCTAATTTCTGCTCCGCAGCCCAGAATCCACACCAGCGGTTCTCTTCTCCCCAAGACTCTGGGGGGGTTGCTGGCATCACCAGGAAGAGCTGTTTTTCTGTGGCACGTCTAGGTTGGCGGCACTCACACAACAGACGGGCTACAGTGGAGCAGGCCTTTCAGGCTCTTATGGAATGCTCCCCAAGCCTTAGCATGCTGTGTGAATGCAGCCATTGCTGCAACGTCTTATTCAGACACAGCAGGCTGTACACACCCAACACCGGTGCTTTGTTCAGCCAGTGTAACATCTGGTGAGAATCCAGCCCAGAAGATGGTGGTGGTTCCGTCCATGCCAACCAGCCCAGGATCTTGGCCACCTGGCCCAGGGAGAATGATGGTTTTTCTAGCCCAGGAGGGTGAAGCTGCTCCGATTCTCCCCCCCTCCTGGCTCCCTTGTGCTCACCAGGGTGAAGAAGGTGCAAAAAATAGTGATGGAGCTGAAGGCGGCGATGTAGGTGTGCATCTCGCGGTGCTCCTTCTCCGTGAAAAGGGGGTTCTGACACTGGATGCCACAGCCTTCCACGTCCTCGTACCAGCTCTTGGGGTTGTCCGTCTGCACCAGCGGGGCCTCGCATTGCCCCGAGCTGTTGAATTTGATGTTCTGCACCTCGTTCTGGGGGCAGAGGAGACACGAGGGAAGGGTTAGGGCCGGATCTCCGCTCCTCCCCAATCCGGTGCTTTGCTCACCACCTCAGGGGTTAACCCGTCCCAGGAAAACATGCAGCTCTTTTAAGGGGGTACTGACAGGTGGGGCACGGGTGCCCATGTTTGGTCTGAAGCACCTTCCTGCCTTTGAATCAAGCCATCCTTCATCTATTCGGTAACTAGGACTAAGTCTGCACTAGCGTGACTGCACCGTATTGACTACATCCGGCTTCTGCAACGTAGCGCCCCCTGGATGCATTCAGCTTTGAGTTTAAGGCATCAGGAGGGCAACAGGCTAAGGACCCGCAACTTGACTCCCTGGAGTTGTTCACCCAAGGCCTAACCAGGTCCAATGAAGTCCTATGGCTGGACAGCCTGCTAAGCTGGGTATTAACCTGGGTCTTTGCAGGGGGTATGAACCTAGCCTGTTGGTACCTACAGGACTGGAGGTGCCCCAGCCCAGAAAATGGGTTAAGTGGGACACCATCCTCCTCGCATTTGCTTTCACTTAGGCAGCCTAAGTAAGTTTTCATCCCGATGTATTTCCTGCTTGGCCCCAGAATTCTGGATTTTAGCGCCCGCAGAGCGTGCATGCGGAGGGCAGAAGGGCTTTCCTACCGGGCACCCTTCGGGGAAACGATCCGTGGTGCATCTGAGGAAGTCGGGCCAGCCCCGCTCCCGCTCCACAATGGTGCAGGGCCCCCGCGTCGCTTGGCACAGGGTCTGGCTGGGCAGCTCCACTTTCCCATCCTCACACTTTGGCATGTACACGGCGCAGAGGAGGGGCTGGATCACGTCCCAGCAGCGAGGCGCATTCCGTAAACCTGGGGAGAGAACCAGGAGAAGCAGCTCTCGGGAGGCTTCCTTTGGCGATGCAAGACGAAAACTTACCTCAGGAGCCATGAGGACTAGAAACATGAAAGACGTTGACTTTTATAGCCTTAATTTTATAAAGAAGCAACACTGAGAAAGGACACTGGCGCAATATGGTTCATGGGGTCACGAAGAGTCGGACACGACTTAACGACTAAACAACAACAACAACAATACTGAGAAATGGAGTCAGATTAAATGGGTAGTCAAGATCCTGGGGAGCGGGTGCTGTGATTTCTTTTAAATGTAATCGAGAGGCACAAACACAGATTCAATGTTCGTACAATATGTTTAACAGGTCAGTGCAAGACCCTTTGCCTGATTCAAACAGGCAAAGGGTTAGCCTTGGGGGTCTTTCTGACATAGGATGTTCCTGTGTGGACCCAGGAAGTTTGGCTAGGTTATGAGTCCAAAGTGTTGTGTGAGGCTAGGGCACTAATTCAGCTGTCAGATTAGGTGTGCTGTGTGAATGCAGAGCAGGTTAGACTCTGTTACAGCCCTTGTACCAACTCTGCCCCATTAAGATGACCAACAACATCGGCTTCTTTTTCCACTATTCATCCTCACTTGTGCAACGCCTTATGCCATCTTGGATCATCGATGCCCGACACTCCATCCTGGGCAAAGCTCCCTAGCCCATCTCTACCCAAAGGAGGCACAGGCACCAAAGTGCCATTTAGGATGTAAAGCCCCGCAGAGCGGGGGAATGAGTTAACCTCCCAGAACCCTTGGATATGTTCACGCCACACCCTTATCCTGGTTATGGGGCTCCCTCACTCTCTGGGCTTGCAGAATGGGCTGGCTTGCGGATCAAGTCG